GGCGAAACACTCAGGCTTCTGACCAAAAAACGAAAGCATACTGGGTAGAGCAGTACCTGGGTACCAAGTGAGGGCCCCTATCATATGTCACTCTCTCTGCCTATCCATCTATCATCTCCAGGCTCTTCCCCTTTCTTCAGGGCTATTAAGTTGGGAATAGAATTTTCTGCAGTCCCCTCCTCTCATCTTCCCTCCCCCATGTCCAGTTCCTGGAGGGCCCTACTGAGGATATACTGTCCTAGGGCTGTATATGAAATTGTAAATTATCCTAGAAAAATTGTCCATGGAGGCTCCACTTTTCTGCCATTTGGCAGTGGGGCAAAGATGGGGTTAAAAAGAGGGGGTAAAATGATAAGAGCTAGGTTAGGTTAGTTCAGTTTGGTCCCTTTAACTAGATTCTTGCTCTTAACCTTTTCTTCTAAGTCATATTTTAAAAAGGTAAGAAAATGAGTTCTCACATCACAATGGTCTAGTTAATTTTGTTGAAAGTAGTCATAGTAATAAATGTAACAACAAGGGAATCTAACTTTCATGGAGGCAAGCCCCACGCTAAGTGAGTTTCACTCATAAATTACCCCATTTACCCTGCACAGCAACCCTACGAGGCAGGTGTTGTATTACCCCATTTTTTAGCTGAAAAAAACTGAGGCTTAGACAGATGAAGCAACTTGCCCAAAGTCCCACAGCTGAAAACCAAGTTCAGTTGCAACGCTGGGATGCATGTTGCAAACCGCTGAGCCTCATGAGGGCCTGACTCCTGAGCTGGCAGGTTGTGGGTGCCTGTCCACGCTGCAGGCCACTGGTTGGTGGGTGATTGAGTCATTAGTGCATTGTACGTATTGTCTGTCCGTTCTCATAGAGCCAATGAAAGGTAAGGAAGATCCTCGGGAAATCAGGTAATTGAGCTTCACTGTTGGGGCTTAACTCTGACATAAATGTCACTACTCACACATTCAACATTGTCCTCTGAAAATATTACCCTGTGAAGGGCAATAGAAAAAGTGACTTACGGCAGGTGCTAGGAAGCACACACTTATTTTCCCACATGTTATTTATTCCTTTTGGTATTTAATATAAATGGTAAGAAGACTTAAAACTTGTACTTAAATAAATCCCAGGTGTCCTTCCAAAAGGCTTAAAAGAAGAAGAGTGCTTTCAAATATGTGCTTCTTTACATTTTAAGCATTATGTATTCGTTAAATATTAACCTACAAGGAAGTTATTTAACCTGCATTGCCTTCTAATGAAACTATTGTCATGCCAAGTACAGAAGTCTGGGTTTTCTCTGGTCACTAAGAATTCATTATCCTCACGTGTAAAATTTAACTTGATAAGCCCCCTCTGTTTCAGGATTTTAACATCAGGGTCTGGTTTGGGATTTGATTTGATAGGCCATACCCGTCGGTTTTTGTGTAGCCTACTTTTTATCACAGTTCAAAGGGAGTATGTGAAAGACTTACTTATGGTAAGTAGGTCACCAGAGACGCATGTCAGGCCTGAGGAATCCTAGAATTTCCACTACTTAGAACACTCTCCACGGTGATCTGAGGAGCTTGCTCACAACTTAATAATGTTGAGTGATGCCAGCTGCATTGGGAAGGAGTAGAACCATACCTCACTAGGGAAATCTGCCTAGGAGATGCCGATCCCCAGTGGACCTCGTTAGAGAAAATAAGTACACACAATCTGCTTTTTTGTAATGAAAAAGAGTGGCGTGGAGGTTAGAAAGTTTCCACTCAGGAGACAGGAGATGTTCCAGCTAGAGGATTGCATTCCAGCTTATGTCCTCAGAAGTTTATAAGACAAGACGTCCTTAGAAAAAGGTACCCTTTTAAAAAGAAAATGTCACCACCCTGTTTCCTTTAAGGCCAAGCTGGTAGGCAACCACATTAGGCTCCATTTATATGGTTCTGTTCCTGTCAATTTTGTTTCTCAGTCATAATAGCCCATAATTGTTCATTGTTTGATTTTTCCCTCATAAAATGGCTAAGCACTTTGACCTGATTTTCTCAATAGACTGCATCCATTTTATAATAAATTAGATCAGTGATTGACTTCTTAAAGATGGGCTATTGTATTAAGTCAGAGAAGTGAGAAATTGACCAAGGAACAGTTCATTTTGCATAATATAAATGTTTCCTAATTCATCCTCTAATCAGCTCTTCGGATCTACATTAATTGTGTCAAGAAATTCTTTATCATCTAACAAGTTTGACTTTATTGGCGATCATTCAAATGTGGCTCTTTCAGGAAATAAAAAACAAAGCTATTTATATCACAACACTTAGGTTTTTAAAAATAAGACTCTTAATATCTTCATTTACGTGTCAATTACCACAACTTGATTCTGACATAGAAAACAAACTTACGGTTACCAAAGGGGAATGGGGGGGAGGGATAAATTAAGAGTTCGGGATTAGCAGATACACACTATATATATATAAAATAGGTAAACAACAAGGACCTACTGTATAGCACAGGGAACTATATTCAGTATCTTGGAATAGCCTATAATAGAAAAGAATCTGAAAAAGAATATGTGTTTATATATAAATATAAATAGAAAAGAATCTGAAAAAGAATATGTGTTTATATATAAATATATAAACTGAATCACTGTGCTGTACACCTGAAACATTATATATCAATTATATTTCAATTAAAAATGTAAAAACAAAAAAACTTGATTCTGGAATATAGCTCTCCGTGCATAAAATTTGCCTGGCCTCATACCTTCTGGACTTGGACTAGTACAGTAGGAATGGGGACAGAGTAGACTTTCCATTCATGGCGGATAGGTTTTACATGCATAAGAGGGTACCTCCTGGAGCTGACCATAAATTACATCCTCGTGCTGTACAAAATAGTGCCTTACAATTGCTATGCATGTTCCACAGCTTGATTTCTTTAAGCATGTCCTGAAAACATGAAGCCACTAGCCCAAATTGGGCTGAATTCCAGGTTGTTACAACTGAATGGTCAAAGAATTTCCCCCAGAAAAGCTGCTCTCCTGTATACTATCCAAACCAATGGAAGAACATGTCGGTAACAGCTGCTATTCACAGGAATTGGTTCCTTGCAGGACTCCTGAAACCCATTTAACGGGTTTATAAAGATTTGCTGCTGAACCATCTACTGTCTTTGTAATTATCTTCTTTTACTGTTGAGAAAGAAAGATAAACCAGGAAACATTTAAAAAGTGTATTTTACAACAGTACTTTCCACCAGGTCTAGAGTAACACACAAGCATATCTTAATACCTTAAGTGAATGTCCCTCAAGCAAATTGCTATCCCCATGCCCCCATTTTCCCTCCCCTTCCACAGTTTATTAGTATCATTGCTATAACAGAGATTATTCATTGTCCCTTCTTTTTCTTTCATTGAAATACAACTTTTAACTCTGCACATGGGAACCTAGCCATGTGTGCTGTATGACTAGACTCTGGCCAATAAGATCTGAGCAGAAAGAATAAGTGCAGCATATGAGTCTTGCCCTTGAACCATGCAAATAAGGGTAACACTCTAGGGATGACAAGCCACCAAAACAGAATGAGCCTGGGCCCTTGATGATTTCCTAGAGTAGAACTAGTAACATCATCTTGGACTTCGTTATGAGAGAGAAATCTTATTTGAATCATTGTTACGTTGGGCCTCTGTCACCCACAGCTAATGAATACAAGCTTTCATTCAGATGACTATAAGGTTTACGGTAAATCATACGAAGAAAAGATTACAGACTCTTACTCAAGTCTATGTTAGCCTGATAATGTCAGCAGAAAACTTGCTCCACACAAATCCTCTGTGAAATTTTGTGTTTGTCCAGATAGACAAAGGAAATCAGTTTACTTTTCTGGTTAACTTGGAATTTACAGAAATACTTACCAGAAGTTTTGATAGAAGGATGTCTTATTACTTGGAGAGCAAAAGAGCTTGGGCAGTATCACGTTCTATTGGTTCACTTCTCAAAGTTGGGTCCATGGACCAACAGCATCCTTGTCTTTCAGTGAAGAATCTCAGACCACACCCCAGATCTACTGATCAGAATCTCTATTTGTAAAACAATACAATGTGATTGGTGGCACATTCAAGTTTGAGAAGCATTGTTCTAGGAAATAACATGAGAGAGCCTGGTGGAATTTCTATATTCTAAAACACTAGTTCTCAAAGTGTAGTCCCTAGACCAGTAACATCAGCATCACCTAGAAACTTGCTAGAAATATAAATTCTTGGCCCCCACCCCAGACCTACTGACTCAGAAATGCTGAGGGTGTGTCCCAGCTATTTGTATTTTAACAAGCCCACCAGGGTGATTCTGATGCATGCTAAAGTTTGAGAGCCACCATTTTAAAGCAGTATTTCCTGAAATTTGTTTTTGGAATAGTAAAGTCAGTGTAAACAAATGGCACGTGGAAAGTGTTCCATGGTCAAATAAGTTTAACAAAACGAAACAGTTTTATTTAATGCAGAGTTTTCATAGTCTCTAATATGTTAATGTGCATGGCCATATCCAAGAGGGTGATACAGAATGCAGTATTTAACAAGCACACTTGACATCAGAACCATTTTTCATGAATTAACTCTTACGACTGGTGTTCCATGGACCAAACTTTGGGAAATGCTTTTCTGTAGTTTCTCAAATTAGCTGAAATATTTTCAGGCTGAGGATACAGTTTACAATTGATTAACATTTAAAGTGAAAGGTTCCAGAGAAGTCAATCCAAACTCCAGGATTATTGTTTCTTTACCACACTCCTTTCCAGGCATCTGGCATCAGGTGTAATCGCTGAGATTTCTTTATTCCTCTTTTTCTTACAACCACTCTCATCTTCTGTCCTAGGCTTACAGGATTTGGCATCCCCTAAAACAACATAGGGAACCCATTCAGCTTGAGGATTATCTAACATTTACTGAGCACTTACTCTGTTCTAGGCCTCATGCTAAGTGCTTTCTTATATGTTATTTAATCCTCGCAACAGCCCTGCAAAACAGATGTTATTATCAATATTTTAGAAATAGCTGATGCTCAGAAAGGAAGTGAATCCCAAAGCCCCATAGTAAAAACCAGACCCAGGACCCCAATTCTGATCTGATGGATTTTAAAGCTCCTACTGATTATACCATTTCCACTGCATACTTCAGGCTGTCAGCATCACCCTGCCGGCTAAAATATTGACTCCATGCCCCTGTGTCTCTAAGCAATCTGATTATCCATACCAGACTAGGATAGGGCTTTTTGGTAATGTGTTGAGAAATAAGGGGAAAGCTCAGGTAATTTTTGAAGTTAACAGCTCTTCCACTTGGAACAAACCCAGGATGGTTCTACATACAAAACAAGCTTCTCAAAATCAACAAGTATTCACTGATCATTGAGTCATGTGCGTGGAGGACGGACAATGGTTCATTTGCCCAATCAATTTGGGAACACAAAACAGTCCACGTGCAAGAACACTTACCCATGCACAACTGTATATGCCAAGGGCGGAACAACTGGACTGAACAACTTCTCAATGTGACAGGGGTTTAAAATAAGTAGAGGTGCCTTCTAGTTGGGTGGGTGATGCATTTCCCCTTAAATCTCAAAATCTGTAGTAGAGGAGGTATAGCAGTTCTGAGGAAGTGGAAAGCGGTGGCATTTGAAGGACCGTGAGAATACTTCCTAGAGCAGTTCACCTCTGACTGAGCCTTGAAGATGGAGTCAGGATTTGGAGAGGCCCTAGGATGACCACTTGGCTGGAGAGTCCAGAAGATGGCGGATGCAGTCAGTGTGATGACCGCCCCCCATTGACACTCCCAGTTCAGGTGTTAGTTTCGGTGTACAGGCAGAGTCCACGCCTCCCCATTGTCACAGGGCGGTGTTTACAAGAAGAGGCCTGACTCTCCTCAGCCGACCCAATGCATGACTTGCTCTTTTGATTGAGAAGGCTGCTCTTACGTTAGGTCACAGTACAGAGACTTATTGAATAGTTCAGTCACTTCAAGATTAATCTGGCACATCCAGGGATCTTTGTACTTGCTCTCAGGATTCACACCTTCTCTTTTGGTGCTTATCTGTTGTTGAAAAGAGTGGCTGCCTCGACTCCATTTCCCATGGGGTGATCCATGCTCTGATAGCAAAGGTCCCAGTTTGCCTGGGATAGCCCCAATTTACTCTGTTGTTTGGAATGTCCCAGTTCGAATAGTAAGTTTATGGCCACCCTATGCACAGTGCTAGTCACCTTCCAACATGGGAGCACGTGCCCAGAGAGCCACTCTTGTCCCTTGTTCCAGCGAGTTGGATCTACATTTCTGGTACCGTTCACAGGGACATAATGCCATGGGCCAATACTGTCACCCCTCCCAGGAGGGTGGATTTGGGTAAAGTCACTGCTCTTTGAAACTCATCCTTCGAAAACAATTTAAATAGCCACCTAGCCGACAGTAAGGACAAATTATAGATATTTTGACTTTTAACAGTATGTTACACTTTTCAAAAGAGCACTGCTAACACATCAGTCACAAATTGTGCCCTTGCTCGACAGCTCTGGTCCCAAATTCTCAGAGGAAAATCTTGAGTACCTGGCGTTACCATCCAGTGAACTGTTTCCTCTTTACCAGGCTCAGAAACAACTGGGGAGGTGCGCTAAGCAAATGTCAGACGTAAATGTTACATTGAGCAAACAACGGGAGGGAAGAGTACATGACAAGGCAGGAGCAGCTCCACGCCACACAGCTGTTCCAAGGGCGAACAGGCCATGGTGTCCTGGAAGACGGTATGTACTCAAACAACGTTAATGTCGTCTTCTCCCCGCTCTGATTGGAAATTCTCTTGCCACTTTTAATTTAAAGGGCTCTTAGGCTTCTCCGCTGCTCAGCTCTGAGACAAGACGTGCTGGGCATGAAGGCTGGAAATGCCCCTTAACATCTGCTTCTGGCTGGATTGGCAATTAACATGGATCATTTAGAGCTCAATTTAAAAGAGTAAAAATTTGTTGAGAATATAACTGTGAGCAAGACTAAGTGGGGACTAGAGGGGTTTTTGTTTGTTTTTATAAATTTTATTTATCTATTTTGGCTGCGTCGGAGCTTCATTGCTGCCCACGGGCTTTCTATAGTTGTGGCGAGCGGGGGCTACTCTTCATCGCGGTGCGCGGGCCTCTCATTGGGGTGGCCTCTGTTGCTGCGGAGCACGGGCTCTAGGCACACCGGCTCAGCAGTTGTGGCGCACGGGCTTAGTTGCTCCGCGGCATTGTGGGATCCTCCCAGATCAGGGCTCGAACCCGTGTCCCCTGCATTGGCAGGCGGATTCTTAACCACTGCGCCACGAGGGAAGCCCCGACTATAGGGTTTTGAATATGATGTGGTCCTTGACCAGCACAGAATTCATCAACAAGGATGCACTTACCAGGAGAGGTGAGGCTGGTACAAAAATAACTGGAAAATGAAATAGAATCTGACAAGTACCCTAAAAGGAGTAGAAACAAAGGGCAAAAAAGAAGGAGAGAGTAGTTTTGACTTAGGGGAAGGTAAGGATTCATGGAGGTAGAATTTTTAAATATATATCTTCATAATAACAACATCCACTAGTATTTATGAGGGCTTATTATCACTCAACAGCTATTCTAAGTGCTTCAAATGTATTTTTATTGAAATTAGTCTCATTTAAGCTTGCCCTTGAAGAAAAGGCATAATTGAGAGAAACAAATGGAGAAGAAAGGGTATTCCTGGTAACAAAAGCAGACTAATGAAAGGTATGACACATCAGGAGGCATCCAGGAAACAGTAACTGTTGTAGTCAGTTTGCGCCAGACTTTGGGATATGTAAGGAGTAAGGGAGATAAGGCTCGAAGCAAAAGTTAGTGCCTTAAATATCGCAATAACAAATCTAAGGTGTTTTCACAAAGTACACAGGCCCTTGCCCCAGTGCCAGAGACCACGTAAGTCTCATTTGCAGTTCAGGTTTTCAAAACTCCTGGGCAATTTGGGGAGACATCCCAGTTGAGAACCACTAATCTTCTGGGGACTGCTGTGATTAGATTTTAGCTCTAGGAAGACGTAAGCAGCAACGTAGAGGATAATCAGGTGGGACACAGCCTAATCTCGGGGTGCTGAGTTAATACACCCCTGCAATACAAGTGAAGTGTGAGGAGGCCTGATGGGAGGTGACAGTGGGCATGCTCTGCTGAGGTGAACATAGCACAGTGTTAGAAGCAGCTGGGTCTGTGCATTGGCCAGATGGGAGGAGGGAATGCGATAACTCTGATATTTAAGCTCAGGCTAAGTTTGTACTGGTTGGTTGGTACTAGTCCTGGCAGAGATGGAAAAAACAGAAAAAGGATCATATTTGAAAGCTCAAATGATGAGTCTGGTTTTGAACATACTGAATTTGAGATGACCTGGGCAACCTTAGGTGAAGGGTACCAGACAATCAGAAATGTACATCTAGCCCTCATCCCTGGAAACCCGTCAATCCTGGCAACCTAGGAAAGTTGGTCACCCTACCACCCTTAAAGAAAAGAGCACAGTGACCTTAGAATGATCATTAGATAGCCTTAGATTTAGCACTTTTAACTGTTCAAAATCCGTTCTAAGGAGATTTTTCACTATGATCCCACTGAAGGATAGAATAATAATTATTATTAACAATAGCTATAATAATGCATTCATTGAGCAATTGCTACATTCTAGGCAATGTGATAAGTTGATGCAACAATGCTGTGAAATTAGTAGTATTATTCCCTAGCAAATGTCTAGTTCCAGTGCCATTTATCTGGACAAAAGTGAAAATCAAGAAACTAACAATTTATTCTATAAATTACAACCAAAGTAATTGGTAAATTTAGAATAGGAAGATACTCCCTTCATACAAATTCCTGTCCTAAACCAATAGCACACATCAGTTTTTATGGTAGAATACTAGAGGCATTCTACTAAAGTCAGGAAGAAAACAAGCCAGCTATCACTGTTATTATTTAATTTTATCCTAGAAGTTTTAGACTCTAAAACAAGAATATTTAAAAGATTAAATAAATAAATATTGGAAGGGTGTCAACATAGCTATTAGTTGCAAATCATGATTGTTTACCCGGAAAAGTTACACAAATCAGATGAAAAACTGCTAGCTCTAATAAAAGACTTTACGTATATATCCAGAAGAAGATGTTTTAATAATAGTAACCACTGGAAATTTCTAGTTGAGGGTTATGGTGGAGTTTTATTTTCTTCTTTTTCCTGCGTTACAGGTGACATGCTAGGGATTTGATGGGACCCAAAAGAACTATCCTGAGAAATTACTCTTCTCAGGATAGTGCAGGCCTTTGAAGAAAGGGGATATAGGGATTTAGGACGACCAATCTTCGAAGGGAGGGCGGAGAGTTTCATTGTCTGGACTGGAGGTAGCCCTTTTATGTTCAAGGACCCCAGAAATAGGGAACTGCTAGACAGGAGCGGCCCCAGGGAGAGAAAGATGGTTAGAGCTTTGGGTACGTAAGCTGCTAGACTCCTGAGCCTGCCCTAACTCAGAGGTCCCTAATCATTCCAACCCCCTGAAGGAGCTGTGCTGGGGAAGATGAAGCACAGAAGAATTGTATTTAGTGTGATCATATAATTTATTGACAAACTTGGGACATTTTTTGTGACTGGAACAGGACGCAGTAATTACGCTAGGTGTCAGCTGAGATGGTCAAGCAGCATATGTGCTTTGCGAATGCACATGGGGCCAGTGCCAGGGGCTGGGGTGTGCTCGTCCAGCCTGGCTGCCACTCTGCAGTGGTTGTTCCTTCTCGTGGTTCCAGCTGACCTTGTGGGATCAGGCTCCTTGGTGACTTTAGGAATCTCAGCTTTTCTCTCACGGAGACATTGTTTGCTAATTCTTGGGTCCATATTGCAGGGAGGAACTGCGTCAGATATATACTCATATATACATGTGAAAGTGCACATATATGTGTGTGTGTGTATATGTATATATATATATACACACACATGTATATATCTGCATTTACATAAGGAGATATACTTAGCTGTATTTTTAAACTTTCATCTGAGAACATATGCCATTTCTATAATAATAGTACACTGAATTTTCCCAGGGCACACCAGTCTATGGGTAGAAATAAGGCCATCTTCTCATTAATTCCCAGTTTTCTCTGGCTCATTTTCCCACGCACCGTGACCTCCTAGCCCCTGAGAGTCAGTAGGAGGTGTTATGTGTTAACAGACTGCACTATCTGAGCTGCCCCGAGCTGCTGTGTCAGGAGCCAGCATCTCTGTTGCAATTCTACTGAGCATAGCGGTTCTCTCTGGGTGCCAAAGCTGGGCAGCATTGGAAACTGTTAACTGTGGTTACAGTGGGTGCCTGTGGGGAATAAGCGTGCGAGGGAATACTTACTTCTTAACTGTATGATTTGTTGTGCCTTTTGAAAATTTCTCTATACTTATAGCATTCTTTCAGATATAGAAATAAGTAACACATTTAAATAGCTGTGTAGGAGGCAGCTAGCATGCCTCTCTGGTTTCTGTGTTATATTCTGGTAGAAAAAACCAAAGCAGGCCTGCTTGTGCATCAGTGTGTTCCAAAAGTGCCCTGTCATTTTACTTCTCAGTCCTTGCTCTCCTCAGGGCCAAGACAAGCATTTAGAAGACATTTACGGGACAGAATCAAATGCCAGCCACTTGCTCTAATTCTCTTCCTTCTGATGGTTAAGGCTTTGTGCCACAGTGAGTCAAACTCACTCTGCCTGGCTTTTCAGCCTCAGCCCCTGAAAAAAAGACTCCATTGAGTCACTTAGAAACTCACCAGACATTCCCAAGGTGAGTGAACCACCAACAGGGGACCCGACCAAGGGTTAACATGAGTTTGAGGAAAAAGGTTTTTAAAAAAGAAAAGTGCTCTGAGAAGCACCAGTTATAAATGAAATTGTTTGTACAACCCTATAAAGGGCTCTTCGTATGCTTAGCCAAACTCCTCCTTTCCCAGGCAGGGTAAACTGTGAGGACATGTTTATGTAGTTAGTGTTACGGTTACAGGAGCAGCATGGGGAAGGCTTAGCTCTTTATTAAAGGGGAAACTTTCTGTCCCTGAGAAGCCTCTAAGAAGTAGGGTTGTCTCAGGGGCCCTGAACACATGTAACAATGCCTGGCATGTAGCAAATGCTTAATACGTGTTAGCTTTTAAAATTATTGTTGTAGTTGTTTGCATAAATTCAAGTGACTTAGAATGTCAAAAACTAAAATTCATTTTAAAAATCTGGAGTTTAGGTCTCTCAGGAGACCAACAATGACATCTCAAAGCCATGTGTCATCGTTTTAGCAATAATTACTCCCTTCAGAATGGCAGGATCTTTCAGAAGATTCTCGGACCTAGTTGTTGGAAAGGAACAATGATTAAGGTAATACCGTGGGCTCTGCTGTCACCTAGTGGAAAATTAGATTATTATAAGCCGTCCTCAGTTACAACCTCATTGCGATCATTGCCAGCTGGCTCCCATTGACTTGCACTATACAGTTCATCACAATTACAAAACACAGACAGAGTCCATGTCTGTGTTGCCACGCTTTTTTTTTTTTTTAATCCTCCCAAAAAGCAAATGCTCATGATCTTGTGTGAGCTGCCCAGTCAGAAACCAGTGGCTGTAGAGAGCGTTCTTGGCAACTTCCAGGTCTCCTGGTCACTAGAACATTGCCGGATGCTGAGGACAGAGGGTCTGGCACATGGTAAGCCTTTGACAACTGCTGGATGAATCTTTGCCACGATCATAACAGACCTAAACAAACA